CAAAAGTAGAGAGGTTTTAGAACCATTGAGTGAAACATGGTTTGCAATGCCCCAGGAGATGTGTTCGAGATCGGATTCCAGTGACACTACGGTCATCATTTATGTCGGTTTGGGCATGGCGGGCAGTGCGGTAGGAGTAGGGGCAGTGGGGTGTGGCGTCATCAGCAAAATAATGGATCGGGTTGGCAGTTTGGGAAAGGAGATCATTGATAGACAGAAGGAAGAGGGTGGGCGCAAGTATTGAACCTTGGGGAACACCAGCGTTCACAGGGAATGGCTGAGATAGAATCCCATCAACCCGGACGGAGATGGTTCGCTCACAGAGAAACTTGATATCCACGCTACGAGCGCTGGAGGGAACCCGAACATGGGTAGTTTCACTAGTAAACCTTCGTGCAGAACTCGGTCGAAGGAATGAGATGTGAAGCGAGACCAAGTGTGCTTGTCGAGTGGAACTGACCAGGACTGGGACAAGAGCCAGCAGGTCAAATAAGAAAAATTGTACGGTTATTTTGGCACATACTTTCGTGTGATGAACAGCAGACGGGGCGAACCCCATAGTCACGAGGATCTGCTGTTCAGTGATAGAAACCGGTAACCTAAGCCTCGGGACTTGGAGTGGCGAACCACATAAGGCCCCGATAGGTTAGGCGTGGTATTGAACCGAACGATAGCAAAGCTGCCTACCATCAAAGTTGGATTGCGATGACGGGGCTCGAACCTCGGATCATAGGGTACAAAGCACGCCTGTGACGCGACTAAACCACTGCACCGCCACCACCATCATCAAATCATCATCATCGTACAGCGAAATACAGTGAAGCGAACTTCACTGACCGCTATCAAACTTGCAATGCATACAGCGTTAGTGGTAAACTTTAAGGTGGACAGGGATTGGATCTACTTTGAGGGAGGAAGAAGATGAGCCACTATGGCCAACACACAGAGTACGCAACCGAACTCTGCATACATACCGTTTCAAGCATTCTGACCTGATAAGAAAAGACAACAAGAGCGCCACTGCTGCCGGTTCGCTGTCATATCCTTTAATGTCTCCAACCAACCAGTTGTGAAGTCTTTCAGACCCCAACATGGAAGGCGAGAGACACCTACTCTACCTAATAACACATACTCTACCACCACCCAATCTATCTGGATCGTTTCTCGGAATCAAACATACATCCAATAGAAACTGCGGAGAAACCAAAAGTGCTTACAGAAAGTAGAAAACCCTTGTATTTGCAATTACCGTATAGGAGTGGCAAGACGACGGACTAGGGGAAACGAGCAGTTACCTAAGTAACAAGGCCAACCCCAACAACGGTAAAACTGCGCATCAGTTTGTCTTTATTGCTTGAAATTCGTTTGTGTACCAAAGACGGATTGCCCCGTCAGGCTACTTCTGTTTGTTTGTTTTTTATTACATACCTAAGTGCGATGAACAGCAGACGGGGCGAACCCCATAGACAAGAGGACTTGCTGTTCAGTGGTGGTAACCGGTATCCTAAGCCCCGAGACTTGGAGTGGCGAACCACATAAGGCCCCGATAGGTTAGGCGTGGTATTGAACCGAACGATAGCAAAACTGCCTACCATCAAAGTTGGATTGCGATGACGGGGCTCGAACCTCGGACCATAGGGTACAAAGCACGCCGATGACAGCGAATAAACCACTACGCCACCACCACTTATGTGCATCTACTCGCTTACTTGGTTCTGTGCCTCCAAATGCCTCAGCATGGTCGGGAGTGGGTGTCTCGAGCTCCGAAATGGCCATTCGTATCGAACTCCTCCAAAAATGCTCCCTAACGACCAAGTGCCTCAAATANCTTCTGCTGCGTTCTCGTAGCGGAGGTTTCAACACTGAAGTGGGAGGGTAAAAGCGAATGCCCGGCGCTTTCCACCGGGTTGCCTGACCATTGGTAGTCAGTCTAGGGGAGTTGGCTAAACTCTGATTCCAAACCATCCACACCTGGCGTAAGAAGCTCATAGTGGCACTAATCTTTGACGCAACCGAACCGGTCTCCAAAGTTAACCTTGGGAGTTGACCACCGTGATGCTCACCGGCTCAAGGGTAATCCAGGTACCCTGGATAGTTGGCCGCATTCGAAAGGCGTATGAACTGGACACCCAGTCACCGGCTCCCAGAGTATCGTGGACTCCCTACACCTCGCTGCCTTGTGCGTCAGGTTCTTCAACCAAAGGTTGCGGCTAGGGTACCCCAAGAAGACCCTCTACCTCGGCCTGGTCAACCGGGTAGTACCACAAGCCCACAAGCTAACCATGGACTTATGAACATACGCATTCACGCATGTCACAGAATCGTATATTTCCACAACTTTCTCTTAAAATCTGCACTCAACACTCCCACCCGCTC